TGGGGGGAGGGGCGGGAGGGGCTGTGGAAGCCACTGCAATGGAAGCCGGTCTCCTCACCCCTCCCGCCCTCTGCCCTCACAGGCTCTTCGAAATGGGGTTTGCAGAGCAGCTGCAGGAAATCATCAGCCGTCTTCCTGGGGGCCAACAGACGGTCCTGTTCTCCGCCACGCTGCCCAAAATGCTGGTGGAGTTCGCCCGGGCCGGTGAGTGAGCTGGGGGAACAGGACGAGGGGAGGCTGGCGGGGAGCGGGGACTCAGCTTGGGGCCTGGGGGGCCTGCCCCACAGTGACTCCCCTACACCCTGTGTGCCCACCGCAGGCCTCACAGAGCCCGTACTCATCCGGCTGGACGTGGACGCCAAACTCAACGAGCAGCTTAAGGTGCAGCTCCACTCACGCCCCTCCCCAGGCCCCTCCCCGCCCCAGGCCTGGAGAGCCAACCCATGTGGCCCCTCTCCCCGCAGACGGCCTTCTTTCTGGCGCGGGAGGACACCAAGGCCGCCGTGCTGCTCTACCTGCTGCGCAATGTCGTGCGGCCCCAGGACCAGACGGTGGTGTTTGTGGCCACTAAGCACCACGCCGAGTACCTCAGTGAGGTGAGAGGGCCTGGAGGAGACACCGCTGGGACCATCTCTTAGGGCAAACCTGCATTTCCATCATTAGCTTGAGGCTGCAGTTTGGTGTGTGGCCACCAGAGGGCAGCACCAGAGCGGGACACGGGGCTGGCCAAGGCTTGACATGTTTTTTATTCTTTCGAACTTTTTATTATAAAAAATTTCAGACGCATACTAAAGTTAGAAGATAGTTTAATGAACTGTCAGTGACTCACAGCCAGTCTTGATTCATCTCTTTCCCCTCCAGGTTATTTCACAGTATTTTCTAGCCATCCTATCATTTTTCTGTAGATTTTCCGTGTGCCATGGATTTGTCTCTTTAAAATCGAGGCATACGGTAAGCTGTGTAAAGTGACTTAATCTTAACAAGCAGGTTGCTCAGTTTTTCCATACATGCACACCTGTGACCTTTGGCCAGATCAAAGTGGGACAGTTCCCGTGCCCCAAATGCTGCCAGGGCCCCTTCCCAGTCTGTGCCACCAACCCCCGCCCCCCACCAGTCAGCCACACCTGGGGGCTGTTATCTGAGGACACAGTTCACTGGGTTTCACTTATTCGACACACATTTAACGGTGCTTGTTCCATGCACGCAGCTGCTGGGGTCACTGATGAATGAAACCAAAATAGTAATTTTTAAAGACAGCTAGCATGGTTTTTACAGTGCTTCCTATGTGCCAGGCCCTGTCCTCAGCACTGCATATGTATTTTTCAATCCTCACAACAAAGCTACATAGAAGAAACTGTTATTCTCCCCATTCTACAGTGAGGACAGTGAAGCTGCAGAGAGGTTAGGTAACTTGCCCAGGGTCATGCAGCTTGTTAGCGACAGAGTCAGGATGAGGCTTACCTGCCACGTCACGGCATGCCCGCCATGGCCCGGCCTCCCTCCGCTCCTGCAAGTCTCCTCACCCGTCTCCCCCCTCGCGTCTTGGCCCCGAGCAGCTCCTGACGGCCCAGCGGGTGAGCTGCGCCCACATCTACAGTGCCCTGGACCAGACGGCCCGCAAGATCAACCTCGCCAAGTTCACGCATGGCAAGTGCTCTGCCCTCATTGTGACGGACCTGGCAGCCCGGGGCCTGGACATCCCGCTGCTGGACAACGTCATCAACTACAGTTTCCCGGCCAAGGGCAAGCTGTTCCTGCACCGTGTAGGTAAGGACCCACAGTGGCCCTGAGTCCTGGTAGGAGCCAAGGGTGCAGGGCTCGGCTCCTGCTGCTGGAGGTGGAGAGACCGAGGCCCGGGGACCCCACCGATGAACTAGGACCTGGGGAGACGCGACCCAGGCCGGATGCCGACGGGCAGTCCCAGCGGCCAGTCCCGGCTTCTCTCTCTCTTGTCGTGGCCCTGGACGACGTGGCCCCTCAGCCCCCTCCTCCCCGAAGTTCTCGGTGACTGTCCTTCAGCTCCTCCCCCGGGCGCCTTTGCAGCCCTCCGCCTCCCCTCCCTCTCCGCAGACAGCACCTGACCTGTCAGGGCAGCAGGTGCGTCCCCACCTCCCCCTCAGCCCTCCCAGGCAGCTCACTCCGTATGATCCTTCAAAAGTCACACACACAGCAGGACAAGTGAGAAATGAAGCAAAGCGCCTAGAGGTGACGCGCCCCTCCCTGGTGGTAGGGACGGTGACCGCTCCCTCGGCGCTCCCGGCAGGCCCTGGTCCAGGCATCGTGCCTGTGGCGCCTCTGTTCTCACAAGTACCCCGTGTGGTGGGTCCAGCCGCATCGGCTCCACTCTACTGCTGGGGAGCCCGAGGCCAGGTCTCGTGCAGGTAGCGAAGTGGGGCAGCTGGGATTGGAACGCTCCTCTTCACTGTCGCCGCCCCTCCGATGACACTGTGTCCCTGGGGTGTGTCCTTTGCCACCACCACCTTCTGTTTTTAAGTTGCGGTAGAATACGCCTGCCGTACAGTCAGCATCTTAACCACTCTTAGGGGTCAGTTCAGTGGCGTGGCGCGCGTTCACCGTGTGCCGCCACCCTCGCCGCCGTCCATCTCCAGAGCTCCATCTTCCCGACTCTGTCCCCGTTAGACACCGACTCCCTGTTTCCTCCCCGTCCCCCAGCCCCTGGCACCCACCCTTTCACTTTCTTTGCCTCCCTATAACTCAAACATATTTATAAATAGAGATAAATCGATGTCTGTGTGAGGAGAACCTGGAGGGCGGGTTCTTTGGATGGTTCTGCGTGTGACCGGACAGTGTTGGGTAAAGGACTGGGGGCTCGTTTCTCTGTTGGCTGCTGCTTGCCGTTCACCAGTTTCTACTGTCCTGGGAAGAGCTGCCTCTACACATTCCTTGAGGGGCCCCCAGGACCCCCCAAGGGGAATTTCTCATGCACCATGTGACCAACAGTGTAAATCAGACCACCCCAAATGAATCTCCCAGACGTGGTGACACTTTGTTTTTGCAAGCTATAGCAACACGCCAGAGTGATGCCGCGCGTGGATTCACTCGGCACAAACTTAGGATCGCACTGGACGTTCTTTTTTGTAACGTTTTTCTCGCATCAGTGTACGTCACGCACGTTTTTCATTCACCCGTAAATGTCACTGTGATGCATCACAAGTCGTTTCCGTTAAGGTCCAGATAGTAAATGTTTCCGGCTTCGGGAGGGCCATGTGGTCTCACCGATCTCAGCCCCTGTAGCACGAAAGCAGCCAGAGATGGTGTGTAAATGAAGGAGCCTGACTGTGTGCCATTAGACTTTATTCACACAGAAGGGCAGGGTGTGGGTTTGGCCATGTGGCCCGTTTGCCAGCCCCTTTCCTCCGCTGTGGAACTCCCACCACATGGTCATTAGCTAATTAACTTAACCAGTGCTCTCTCCTTAAGTCTTTAAGTGGTTTCCCACTTGGGGCCGTGCCAGGCAGAGCTGCAGGAGACTGTACGTGAACCTCTGCAGCCTTGGTTATTTCTGTGGAGAGAATCTCCCAGCGTGGGGATGCTGAAGGCTTTGGATGCTGACAGTGAGCAGAGCCTTGTCTTTGTTTCTGCTGACTTCCCAGAGCCCTGTGTTGGCTCATGCACTCTCGTGCAGGTGACCCTGGTGGCCGTCAGTGCCCCTTCCCCTTTTGTAGGTAAGGACAGCTCAGCAAGGTACAGTCTTGGCCTGGCTTGCACCCTTAGGATTGTGCAGGTGACACTTGTGTTGGGCTCTGGGGTCTTTTTCCTTTGCTGAAGCTTGGCCACCTCCTCCCGCAGGCCGTGTGGCCAGGGCTGGCCGAAGCGGCACTGCCTACTCCTTGGTGGCCCCAGACGAGGTCCCCTACCTACTGGACCTGCACCTGTTCCTAGGCCGTGCACTCACCCTCGCCTGCCCCAACAAGGAGCCCTTGGGTATGTGGAGGCTGGGATGGGGCTGGGGTCGCCCACGGAGTTCATGGTTCGGGCAGGGGACAAAGCTGTCTTGGCTTTGGAAGGGGGTGGGGCTGGATTTGACCCCAGGAGAAGACTCCTGTATAGTCATCCCTCAGTATCTGAGGCGGATTGGGCCCAGGACTCCCACAGATACGAAAATCAAGGATGCTTAGGTCCTTTCAATAAAACGACGTAACATTTGCGTACAACCTACGCACATCCTCCAGTATACTAAATCATTCCCGGGTTACTTGTAATACCTAATACCATGTAAATGCTATGCAAATAGTTGTTACATCGTATTGTTTAGGGAATAATAACGAAAAAGTCTGTCTACATTCAGGACAGATCCAGCCATCATAGGCCTAACCACACAGTACACGTCAGCAACGGGGGGGGGTTCTTCTGAGATTCAGGGGTGGAAGTGAGGCCAGTGAGGGGAGGCGGGCTGCGGGCGGGCGGCCCAGTGGCAGGCCTCTGACAGGGCTCCGTGGTGGGTGGCAGGTGCAGTCGGAGGGGACGGCGTGCTCGGCCGGGTCCCGCAGAGCGTGGTAGACGACGAGGACTGTGGCCTGCGGAGCACCCTGGAGGCGTCGCTGGAGCTGCGGGGCCTGGCGCGCGTGGCCGACAACGCGCAGCAGCAGTACGTGCGCTCGAGGCCGGCGCCCTCCCCCGAGTCCATCGCGCGGGCCAAGGAGCTGGACCTTGCGGGGCTGGGCCTGCACCCGCTCTTCAGTGAGTCCCTGTGCGGAGTGGGGGCGGCGGGCGGGCCCCGCAGCGCTGATCCCTGACCTCTGACCTCACCCCTCTCCCCCGCCAGGCTCACGCCTCGAGGAGAAGGAGCTGCAGCGACTGAGGCTGGTGGACGGCATCAGGAACTACCGCTCGCGGGCGGTGAGTGAGGGCTGCCGGGTGCCGGGACTCCGCTGGGGGTCCTGAGCCCAGCAGCGGCCCGGCCGCGCTTGCGTCTGAGCGCGCAGCTTCTTACCCTGCAGCGCTGGCTCCCACGGCATATCTAGAGACGCCCCTAGTTCTGGTTTCCCGCGTGGCAACCGTTTCCTACCACTTACAGACCGGTAGACTGAGGCTCACAGAGGGAGCCTGACAAGCTGGCTTTCCATAGCCTTTCATCTCCTCTTGACTCCCACTGGGCGCCCCGTCGTGTACCCAGGGGAGGTGTGCTCAAGAGCAGGGAAGGCCCGCCAGGAGCGGTCCAGCCCGCCAGCCAGCCCGCGCCAGGCAAGAGGAGCTGGAGTGTCATGGTTAAGAGCACTGGTTCCAAAGCCAGGTGACCCTGGGTTGCAATGCCAGCTCTGGCTGGTCCCAGCTGTGTGACCTTGGCCAGGTTACCTGCCCTCTCTGGGGCTTCCTTTCTCATTGTGAGATGCAGACAATGAGGGTACCCACTGGTAGGGTTGAGGGGATTCCTACAATACAGTAAATAGGCTGGCGAGGGTGGAGCGGGCAGGACAGGCCAGTGGGTGAAGGACTGGAATGTCCCCTGTACAGACCATTTTTGAGATCAACGCCTCCAGCCGGGACCTGAGCAGCCAGGTGATGCGTGCGAAGCGGCAGAGGGACCGCAAGGCCATCGCCAGCTTCCAGCAGGGGCGGCAAGGGCGACAGGAGGGCCCGGCCGGCCCAGCCCGGGGCCTCCCGGCACCGCAGGAGGAGCAGCGTGAGAAGGAGCAGGCGGCAGGAGAGGACGTGGAGGTACAGGCCCCACCCCGGGGGCTGTGGGATCTGGGCCCGGGGTTGGGGGAATGGGTGGGTCAAGTCCCGGCAGCCACGGGGCTGTCTTCAGGGCTTTGAGCAGTAGCCGGGGCTGGATGCGGCGGTCCCAGTCCCACTTCTGACACTGGTGGAAGTCAGCGACTCGGCCTCAGCCTTCCCGTCCGCAGAATGGGGTCGTGGTACTTGTCCAGCATCCCTTGCCTGGAACCCTGGGGGCCAGATGTGTTTTGGAATTCAGAATCTTTAGCGTGTGTGTACTGGGTATGACATAACACCTTGGTGGGGTCTTGGGTGTCACCAACATCAAATGCATCGGAGGTTCTGCCATGCAATGTGCCAGTCCCCCCCACCGATGAGATAGACACCAGCCAGATAGCCTCTCGTCATCTCTGGTTGGCTTCTCCACCAAGCGAATTGCAGGAAAGTTTGTTTTCGGGACATTGTGGACTAGGGCACTGCAGCCGAGTGACTGTGGTACCTGGTCCTGGGCCTGCTGGGCAGATGCAGGACTGTGCGCGACAGATTCCCAGTGGTGGCCGTGTCATCGATCAATATCACCATCAATCTCAGCCTCAGGTCCAGGGCAGGCAGAAAGAGGCAGAGCAGAGACTGTCGGCAGCAGCGAGGGCGTGACACGGGCAGCATCAGGCACTGGGCCTTCATGCCAGAAGGCAGGGATGGGGGACCGCAGAGGTGTCCTGTGTACCTGCTAGGCGGGATCCTGGGTCTGCTCATCCATCAGTCCATCCCTCCTACATTTGATTTGGACACGGGGCCCCATGTCCAAGACAGAGTTGAAAACCCCTGTAGTGGTCCCTGTCGTACATAGCAAGGCCTGGCCCAGAGCGGAGCAAGGCCTTGCCTTGGTCACACAGCCTGGGAGACGGAGCTGGGACTGGAATGTGGGTTCCTCCCTGATTGCCACCTCAGCCCCCGGCACCTGTCCTGCCCACTCTGGTGCCTGAGGTGGGGTTGAGCTGTGCGTGCAGAGGCGGAAACAGGATCTAAATGGCAACACCAAGTGTTTAAAGTTCCCGAGCCCCTGGCCTTCAGCTCCAGCTGGAGTGGGGAGGCGGGCAGGTGCACCCCCAGGGGCTGCAGGTGTGACTGGGCCTCCGTCTGCCAGGACGTCTTCGCGAAGGTCGTGGGCCGGAAGCGGCGACAGCCAGGACCTGACCAGGGAGCCAAGAGGCGGAGGGAGGGGCCCCGGCAGCAGGACCGGGACTGCTACGTCCCCTACCGGCCCAAGGACTTCGACAGCGAGCGGGGGTGAGCGGCTAGCTGGTCCGTGCGTGTGATGCGGGGGACAGGCGGTGCCTGACGGGCCGTCATCAACCTGTGGCATCTCCGCACCCGCCCTCTGCAGCCTGAGCATTGGCGGGGATGGAGGCGCCTTTGAGCAGCAAGTGGCCGGCGCCGTCCTGGACCTGATGGGGGACGAGACCCAGAACCTGACCAGGGGCCGGCAGCAGCTCAAGTGGTGAGTGAGCACGAGGGCCCCGTCCCTCCCTGTCCACCCGCCTGCCGCACAGCCCCACAGCCGGCATGGGATTCGCTGCCTGTCCTGATTCCCCTGAGTTCCCCAGAGCGGGAACCAGGTCACACTGGCCCCTCACCGATCCTACGCAGCACGGTGGTAACCCATGACCATCGCCCCAGTCCTGTCCCAGTGTGATCAGACATAGCAGGAGTGAGGCTCCTTGTCTGTCTCGTCCCCCTGCAACACCCATGCCCCCCCATCCCAACTCAGAGCCAAGAGGTGACAGAGTGGGGATTGAGAACCTTCTAGGGATTGGGGACTCTGCCCCTGACTCAGGGCCTCCAATTCCCGATGATCCCCACACTGCCTTTGAGACTCAGGCTATGGGACAGGTGGGAGGGGCAGAGGACGGGCCTCTATCGGGCACCTACTGCATGCCAGACACTGCCACACTGCTTTTCTGGAATCCTCCAACAACCCAGTGGGAGGGTCAGGGGAGAAAACGCCGCGAGGGGAGCAGGCCGCCCTGGGCCACCTTCCTCCGTGGCAGCCCCCCAGCTTCCTCTCCTGCAGGGACCGGAAGAAGAAGCGGTTTGTGGGACAGTCAGGACAGGAGGATAAGAAGAAGATCAAGACCGAAAGTGGCCGCTACATCAGCAGCTCCTATAAGCAGGACCTGTATCCTGAGGACGGGGGCTGGGTGGCTTCTACCCAGGTCTCCTGTGTGGGGGCGGGGCCAGACGCCGCCTGGTTTCCTGAGGGGGCGGGGGGCGGCGCTCTCTGCTGCAGGGGGCGGGGCCTTCTCCCAGCCGGGGGCTCTCAAGGGCTTCGGGATCCCGCGAGCAGCCTCCTTAACGCAGCTTCCCAGCTATCAGAAGTGGAAAAAGAAACAAAAAATCGATGATCGCGACTCGGAAGAGGAAGGGTCATCCCACCGGCGAGGCCCAGAGGGCAGAGGTGGGAAGCGGGGCCGAGGTCAAGGTAAGGTGTTCCCCAAAATGCAGGTCGGCAGGTGGTGCGTTTGGTCACCTGAGACTTGGTCCTCTGATCTGTCTGCCAGAGCCCGTGCTTGATGCCCACAGTGTGGGTCGGCTGCCCTGCATGGCAGCAGAGAGGCCAAGGGGGCCTGGTCCTCACAACTTCTGACATGCTCTGAAGAGAGGGGCCTAAAGCCTGTCTCCCCAGCCCCCCAGCTTGCTGTCGGAGAGGGCTCCCACTGCTGTGTGGGGTCAGGCTTTGTGCCGGACACTGGCCTCGGGCGAGAAGACTTGAGAATGTCTATAGACGAGGAAACAAGTGGCTGAAGGGGGCCGTGACCGGCCCTGGGCCCCCCAACTGCCCGCCACCTCCCACCGGGACCTCCTCTGGGGAGAGGGGAGCTCGGGACTGTGTCCCAGGCTCTCAGGTGGGCCTTCACCATGCTTGTCCCTCCCCCCAACCCCAAAGCGCTGGTCCCTGCCATGTCCAGTGTCCCCGAGAGGCTGTGTGCTTGAGCCGGCCCCTTGTTCTCCTCACGGCCCCTTCGGCTCGTCCTCCGCCTCGCTCGGGGCCTCCTGTGCCCTGCGCGGTGTCCTCTGTGTCAGCACCTCTCCTCCGACGGCGTCTCCCGCTTCCTCCTCTCTAGCTCTCCGTTTCCGTCTTTGGTTTTCCCTGAAACTCGCTCTGTCACTCTCTACGTGTCTTCCTCTTTTTCCATCTCTGACTCTGCATCCCTGCCCCCCCCTTTCCCCCTCGTTCTTTGTCTCTCTTCCCATCTCTATATCTCTCTCTCATCGTCCGTTCCTCTCTCTCTACTTGTGGGGAGTGGGGGTTCAGGGGTGAGCGCCCTCAGAGACTTGGCAGAGCAGCTGGGTGGGGCGCTGACCTCTGCTGCTGCTGCTTCGCTGCGACCTTGGACAAGGCCCTTCCCCTCTCTCGCCTCCTCCGATTCCCCTCCTGCCAAAGGAAGGTTATGCTGCGACCTCTTTTCATCTTACAAGCCTAAAGCATGCAGTCCATGGAGACAGGGGTTGGCGCTGTCCCAGTCACCGCTGGTCCCTGATGCCCGGCATAGAGCGGGTGCTCAATCGACCTTCGTGGAAGGATTTATAATCAAAATAGTTATACCTAGGAACCCCTTACCGTGGGCTAGTGCTGAGCACTGTACACATATTAACTCTTACTCCTAATTAGGACCCATGAGGTAGATGCTATTATTCAATAATTCACAGAGAGAGAAACTGAGGCATGGAGAAGCTAAGTGATTTCCCCAAGGTCCAGGAGGCCAGCTGGGATTCGAACCCCGGCAGTTCTGGCATGAAGTCCCATGTTATTGACCACCATAGTAGATTCCGTAAGCTTTATTAAGCACCTATTATGTGCCAGAGGCTGGGGCCACAGCAGTGAACACAGAATGGGCGTGGGGGCAGGGCGGCAGTCTGGAGGCTTCTGGGAAGAGGAGACCTTGGGAGTCGCCCAAAGGCTGAGCTCCCCGACTCCCTGTCCTGGCAGGTGCCTCCCGGCCCCGCACCCCGGGTGCCCCCGCAGGCCGTGTGCGCTCTGAGCTCAAGACGAAGCAGCAGATCCTGAAGCAGCGACGCCACGCCCAGAAGATGCGCTTCCTGCAGCGCGGAGGCCTCAAGCAGCTGTCCGCCCGCGGCCGGCGCCACGCTCAGGAGCTGCGGCAGGGCGCCTTCGGCAGGGGCGCCCACTCCAAGAAGGGCAAGATGAGGAAGAGGCTGTGAAGGAGGTGACCCTGCCCCTCAGCCCCCCGCTTGGGCCAGGCGTGGACATCAGCAAGTGTTCCCTGTATACCGCTCCGTGCCTGTGCGGGGCATTTGGGGAGCCTGCGGGAACCGTTGTCCATGAGAAAGAATCCGTACGGCACTCGGGGACAGCAGCTGCTCGTGCCTGAGACAGGGACGTTTGAGCAGGGTCGTGAAGGGTGCATAGGAGCTGGCCAGCAAGGCCAGGCAGGCCGAGGCCTGATTGGCAGCTCGCTTCTGCTGCTTCCCTGTGTTCTGGGTTCAGAGGTGGTGGCCACAGGGTCTGAGCCCTGAGTGCCTAAGGCCTAGTGATGTATTTTTGATGTAATAAACCTTTATTGAGCACCTCTGGAGGACCAGGCGTGCAGTCCACTTGAGGAGTTGGAAGGGACAGACCCCGACATTAAACCCCAGCTAGTGTGCCGGACGAGTGGAGAGCGTGTGGGCAGGTCCCGTCTGATCCCACCAAGGATCCCCTGAGGGTGGGTTCTGTTGGTGTTTCCATTTGGCAAATGAAGGAAATGAGGCTGAGAGGATGGGTCAGTGGCCTGAGGTCGGAGAGCCCCAAAGTTGGCAGTAGACTGGGGGAAGAAGATGGGGTGCAGGCCCCGGGCGCAAAGGGTACAGCTGCCCCTCGCTGAGTAGTTAGCGCTGCCCCACCACACACCCAGAGGTCAGACCCTGTCCTGGCCTCTGTCCTACCCCAGGCCCTGTGCTCCTCAGCCCCTACTGGGCCCTTGGAAGGTCAGCTTTTGGCAGCTGGATTCTCAGGCCAGCGGTCACCCAGCGCCATGATGGAGGAGGCTTTGCGAACCGGCACCTGGGTGTCTGCCCCTTGCTGGTCCCATCGATTTTACTGGACTTGACAAACACACATCTAGAATGTACCAGGATTTGCACCAGGCCCCATCGCAAGCACCTGACAACTCTCAGCTTGTTTAATGCCCCCAACTCTCGAGGAAGGACCTGGTCCCACGCCACGTGGTGGACTCTGTTGGTTCCTCCACGCGGCGTACGTTTACTGAGCGCTTGCCGTGTGCCCCTCATGTTGCCCCAGGGCAGTCTGAGTGGGCACGGCCCTCCCATCGTCATGTGAGAGCCACTCAGCCCGCACCCCATCGGAAACGCAAGGGGTTCCTAGTCCCTTGAGGAGGCCCCCTCCCCTCCTGCTCACCTGAGTCGGTTAAGGGGCTGGGGCCTTGGTCTGGCCGGGGCCTTGGACTGGAGGGAGAGGCTGCGGGAGTCTGGCCAGCATGGCAGAGAGGTCCAGCATGAACAGCTTCACCTGGGGGTCCCCAACACAACCAAGGTCACATCCTAGCCCCTGAGTGTCCAGTCCCCACCTCCAATGCGCAGGATGCTGCAAGGTAGGGGTGCGGGTGGAGACCCCAGTGGTGGTGGTTCCCAGGGACGGTGACCCAGCCTGACTGTTCTGGGTTTTTAAAGCCTTGGTCAGCTTCCCAAACGATTTGTTACCAATGCCTTCACAGTTTGCTAGCTGGCTGTCACCTGTATTATAATTAAAGTCATATTTTCACTTATATCGATCCATATTTTTTTCCTTTTAATTTGATCAGTCATGTTCATTGGTGTATGACTTACTGTCATCTCCATGGGTGGCCCTTCTTTATTTTGTTTTAATTAACTTATTTATTGATATGAACGTAATGAGCACCCACGGATCCACTGTCAAGAATTGAACTTGATAGCGAACTTGCCTTTGGGCTCCCCCTTCACATTTGTCACCAAAATAAACAACTGAGAAGAAAACTATATCTCCATCGAAAATGGGGAAAAATCTGTTACCCCTGTCATAAGTAGAGGTAACTGGAGAAGTCATAATACAGTGACAAGGAAACAGTGTTCCTGAATTCCAGTCAGCTGCTGTTGTCAACGGGGGTGGGGTGGTCCCAGGCCCAGAGACCAGGGAGTGTCACGGGTTGAAGACCTTGTCACACAAACCTCACCCCCAGGCAGCCTTTCTTCATGGTGGGGTCAGAGGGTTGGGTGAAAAGGGACTGGCTTTTACTGTTCCTTCATGTAAAGCCTCCGTCCCTCCTAGAGTTGTCTCATACCTCAGGGTACCAGAGCCACACTTGGGAGAGCAGTGGTCCACATGAGTCCACCCAACTCAGGATGTGGCACAAAGGTAGGCTCTGGGGACCTAGCTCTTGCGTTTGGTTGGAATCCTGGCATTGGGTGCAGGGCAGGAGGAGGGTAAGCAAGGGGGAAAGCGGGTGCCTCCCTTTGCGTTTCTCCCACTTTTCAAGAGGGCCAGGCTTTGGGAACCCCCTAGAAATAGAACCAGTGTCTGAAATCAGAAGCCCCTCCCTCCGCCATAACTCAGGTCATGTGTTCCACACCTTTGCAAACCTGAATGAATAGAACACTGGGCATACTTAGTCTACAGGGACACCTGTGCTGCCACCGTGTAGAGAAGAAGCCCACTGCACAATGCCGCCCTCACCCTCCCTAGGGAAGCCAAGGCCTTGGGAGCAAGGGGGTCAGGATTAATTAAAAGCGAGTCTTAACCTCCTGGGTTCTCAGTGATGAGTTCATTTGTGTGTGCTGTTTGACTTGGGACAAAAGCAGGACTCTTGGTATGAACATACGGCGTGCATCACTATACACACACCCTGGCCGTCCTGTATAAGTGATGACACAGACCCAGAGGGGCACGACTTCCTTCTGGCCACATAGCAGACGACTGTCAGAGCCAAGGCCAACCCAGGATTCCTGGGCAGGGGGCCTAGGCCGCCATCCAGCCCACATCTGTGATGCTAGGCGCATGGTCACAGGTCACGCTTAACCCAGAGAGGTGGGATTTCAAGCATCATGATATTCCTGAAGGTTTGGGGCCGGAGGTGCCATGAAGAGGGGCCCTCACCTGCTCCAGCTGCCCCTCGGTGTCCTCGATGTCCAGGGCAGGTGGCTGCTTCTGATGCTGGCACACGAGCTGGAACATGTTGAGTGCTGACATCCTGCTGCGTCCCAGGAGCAGGGTCTTTTCAGCCGCAGTGTTCTGGATCTGAACCCACTTGGATTCCTGGGGAACAGCCGGCGCCCTCCTGATTAAGGTGTGCGGGCCTGAGGAGGGCGGGGCCTCATTCCCATCCTCTTCCCACCAGCCAGGTACCGATGGGAGAGACGTGCAGGACCGGTGTCAGGTTCTGATAAGACTGGTCTCCTGTGCCCCAAAATGCTTTCTGATGCCTGAAACCTGCGCCTTTGTGCCGCTGCCTCACTGGGGTAAGCACCGCCCCGTCTGTTCTCATCAACCCTGGCACTCTTCTCTGGCGTGGGAGGCTAGAGTCCCGACGCCCACACGCTCCCGGCCGGCCGTACCCACTGCAGCGTGCGCTCCCGCGCCGCCTCCAGGCGCTCCAGCAGCTGAGCTCGCCTCTGGCGGAGCCTGAGCAGCTCGTCTCGCCAGGTGTCCCGCAGCCGCTGCAGCCGTGCGCGCTCCTCCTCCACCTGCCGGAGTTGCTGGCGCTCCGTGAGCCTCATCGCCGCCTGCGTGTTGGCCAGGGCATCGAAGCGCGCCACCAGCTCGGAGACGTCCTGGAACTGGGGATGCGGTCAGGATGGAACTCACCCGAGGCTGAAGCCCCTTGCCCTACCCAGCCACTTGGCTCTCCAGCGCCTCCTTAGTCAGCCCACCTGTGAAATGCAGGCATCGCACAGCCCCTGCCCCAGAAGTGGGAGTAACTTCTCTCCTCCCCACCTCCGCCATCAAACCTCGCTAAACTCACTGCCTGTGATTCATGTTTATTCATGGTGTCATTCAACTAATAGTTGAGTGCCTGGATCCCCCCTCACTGCCTGCCTGCGTGTCCTTGAGTAAGTTACCTTTCTGAACCTCGGTTTCCCCATCTGTAAAATGGGGTCGACAATAACAGGACCCATTTCATTGGGCTCTGGAGAGAATTCAAGAACAAGACATGTCACTGGCATACACTTAATAGCCAATAAGTGGTGATTCCTGGCATACAGTTGGGTTTTCCAGCAGTGCACACTTCCAAAACTGTTCATGAGGGCATGGTGGCGCGCTGAGCCCCCAAACCTCCTGCAGGGCGCTCACCTCGGGCAGCTGCTCCAGCACCCGCCCTAGCAGGCGCGCGCAGGGCTCCAGGCGCTGCAGCCGGCTCTGCAGCCGCGCGCGCTCCCGCTGCAGCTCCTCCAGGTGGGCCCGTAGCCGCAGCACCTCCGCCTGCTGGCTCCCCGCCTGGTGACGCTCCTCGGCCGCCCTTCTCAGTGCGCAGCTGCGCCGGGCCCCGGCGTCCTGGGGAGGAGGGATGGAGAGGAGGCGACGACCCTCTGGACTTGGAAGACTGCGGAGCTGGCCGCTTCCACCCCGCGCCGGCACGCGCATGTTCAGCAGTGGGTAGCAAACAGATGGCGCACGGGCCAAACTCAGCCAGAATCTGATTTGGGTCCCTCACTCCTACCCACGCTTTAAAAACACTCGAATGCTTCAGGCGGTGCGTGCGTATTGCCCATCACTCTCCTTTGTATTCGTAAGCCCACTCTTAACAATTTATGTGACCTGTCTGGCCCGTATAGGATTGTGACTTTGTGACCCTGTGACCTGCCTCCTCAGAGCAGGCTCCACCTACCTGTAAGAACTTGTCAAAGCGGACAAAGGACCCTTGTATCTCCTGCTCCTTCTGTTCCAACTGCTCCCGGCGCAGTTTCAGGGCTGCCATCGTGGTCTGGAACACCTGTGGGGTGAGGAGTGGGTGCCCGTGTGCGTTTGGGGGTTCAAGGCATCCAGCGCCTTCAAGTTCCACTTAACCTCCCCCATCTGTTGTCCCTGATCTTGTCGCTGCACAAATCCATCCACGGTTCCCACCTGGCGGGGTGAAGCCCAGATGCCCTTCTGCAGCCCCACCCCCACCCCCACCCCCGCATCATTCCTGCCCTTTATTCAGGCCTCGTCTGACCCGCTGTCCTTTGACACTGTCTTCCAGCCACTTGACCACCTGTGTTTTGTCCTCGCCTTCCAGTCTTTGTATATGCTGCTTCCTCTGCGCGTTTCTGCTTCCTCACCTTGTCCCCCTTTCCTGGATAAGCCCACATGCCCTTCAGCAATCCCTAAGGTGTCACTGCCTCCAGGAAGCCCTCACGGACCACCCCCATGTAGAGAGAGGGGCTTCCTCTGGGCCCCCACAGTTCCTTCTCCGTGTTTCCCTGCTTATAGCAGTCACCAGCTGGATACTGGTCTGTCTCCTTCTCTAGACTGTGAGCCCCGTGAGGGCAGAGACCACAGTGAGACCACTAGATCCCAGTACAGTGCCCTGTACATTCCAGGTGCTCATCGCACATTAATTTGCACCAACGACTGATCTCGCTTGACACCCATTTGACAGATGAGGCAACCAAGGCTCAGATTGGTGAAATGACTTATCTCGGACCTTGGAGCTAATAAGTTGGCTCCGACATTTCCCATTTTCCTGCTCACCACCATTTTTTTCTTTTGGCCGGGGGTCCCAAAAAGTCTCAGGACAGCCATAGGGGCTCACCTCTTTCTGGGCCCGCAGTCTCTGGTCCACATCTGCCAGCTCCTGCCTCTTCTCCAGGAGACGCAGCACCGGTGGGCAGTTGTCTGCATTCCGCTCCTGGGTCTTCTTGGAGAGGCTCAAGGAGGAGGTGGGGGTGAAAGAGGCAAGAGTCAGGGCCCCCAAACTCCCCCTAGTGCCTGAAATGCCCCCCATTAACCATCTACTGGATGTTGAATTAGTCACTCATTCCACAAATTGTACTGAGCACCTAGTCTGTGCCAGGCACTGTTCTAGGCACTGGGGCTGCCGCTGGGAACAAGACAGACAAAACGCCCTGCCTTACAGGAGCTGGCATCTGCTGGGAGCCACAGGAAATGAAGCTAACAACTAATAATAAACAACGGTAGGATATGGTAGGTACTAAGGCGAAAAATCTTTCAATGCAGGCGTTGAAAAGTCTCTCCAGGAAGTGACATTTGAGCCAAGATCGGAAGGGGAAGAGGGAGCGAGCCATGTGGATATCTGCAGGGAACAGATTCTAGGCCAAGGGAACAGCAATTGCAAGGCCCCAAGGGAGGGAGCAGCAAGGAGGCCAGTGTGGCTGGACGGGAGGGCAGGGAGGAGGAGAGAGAGATCAGAGAAGTCGTGGGGTCAGACTGTGGTGAGGGAGACTCGGCCTTGACTGTGAGTGTGGTGGGTGGCCCGCGAGGCTTTTGAGCAGAGGAGGGGTCCCTCTGGCTGCCGTGGGGGGCGAGGACAACAGGAGGGCAGGGCAGCTGCAGGAGACCAGTGACGGGTTACAGGATCACGGAGATGATGTGGTTCTGCCCAGGGTGTTTGTAGTGGAGAGGTGAGGAGGGGTCGGTTCTGGATACCGTTTGAGAGTCGAGGTGATGGAGTGATAAGGGGGACGAGAAAGGAGTCCAAGGTGAACCTAGGAGCTCGAAGGATGTTGCTGTTGGAAGGAGACTCACTGGGGGGGCAGGGGAGATCAGCTCCTTGCTATAGCCAAGTTGAGACTGAGACACCTGTTAGACCTGCACAGGGTGGGGTCTGGGAGGCAGCTGGGTGCTAGGAGATAGGCTGTTTGGGAGAGGAGAGGCTGGTCACAGCCCCCCTAGGGAGCAGAAGGGACGCACTAATATTCCATTCGGCAAGGCTTTCCCGGCTCCGGTCCAGGGGAAACCCTCCCATTTTACAGGTTCTAAGACTGAACCACCGAACACGAAGCAGACACGGGACAAGCTTCCTCCACGCTTCCTTTAAAATGCGGTTTGCAGGCACGGGGGTCCGCAGGAGTTCACAGAATAATTCCTTCCCACCTGGCTTCCAATGACTTAATCTCAGCTGGGGTTTGGATCAAGGGCAGATTAGAGACCTGGGCTACTGACCCAGCTCTGCTCTAAGTAGCCTGAGACCTTGGGGCAGTTGCTGGTTCTTCCTGAGCCTTGGTTTTTTTCATCTGTGAAGTGGGGGCAATAATCTCCTACCATGAACAGCCCGAGGAAGCCAGGACCCCAGGGGCAGGAGGAAAGGATAGGCCATTCCACCCCCTCCTGCCCTCCTTCCAGCCCTCCCTGCCACCCCATGCCACTCACTTAGGCTGCTTCTCTTGCGAGGCCAGTCGAAAATATTCTTCCCAGGACACTGCCATTCTTCCTGGGACTGCCCTGGCTTTCTTTCCACCTGGCTGGAATTTGCGGAAGCCTAGGAGGCCCTGGGGTTTTCTGATGGAGGGTGGTGCAGCAGCGTGTTCTATAATTCCCCACCAAGGCTGCCACCAAGCAGGCCCTGGTTGCTCAGGCAACCATCCACACAACATTCCATTGCCTGGCTGAAGCCTGGGGAATCCACCCTAGGAGGAGAAGGGAGGGGGCTACAGAGAGGGGAGCAGCCTCTCCCTCTTCCGGAGAGGGCTTTAGGTCACAGTCTAACTCCCAGTCCCTCCACCAAGAATATACCCAGCTTGGTGCCCCCATTTCTGGTCAAGCCTCTTCCTGGCTGGGTGGGATGGGGCCTCCCAAACATGGCTGTATGTGCAATTGTCCAGGCAAAAGAAAATTACTGGGCACCCACTGTTTGCCAGGTCTGGGGTGGAGTCATTTACTCCCCGGCAAGGTGCTGAGTGCCTACCATGTTCCAGCCCTTTGAGGGGTCCATTCCCTTTGCTGAGGATGGGGCTACACAAGCCACGTCTCACAGAGCCCCCCACTGGGTTAGGGAGATAAAAAGGGGCCATCAGCACTACCAGGTGGACCCCAGCTTGGAAGGGGCCCATGATCTGGATTTGGAGGATAGGGGTAGGCGAGGAACCGACACAGTTCGTTCAAGTAATTACGGTGGGCGTGAGGCTGCTAAGCACTCGACAGTATCTGATTTAACCCTTAAAACAGCACTCCAGGGTAGGGACGGTGTTGGGGAAAAGCACCCGGAGTGAAATTACAAATGCCCACGGGTCTCCCAGTCAGAAATAACAAACACGAGCATCTTGTCATCTTTGCTTCTGATCGTTTTCTTTTTCTGTTTTAAATAATTTATTCTTTCATGCAAAGAAATATATATATATTTTTTAAGAAATGTATTTTCTTATCACAGAGTAATGCTATGTAAAAAAAACTGTAGTGACTTGTAATGCCTACATTGCTTAAAACAACTCCTAAGCATATTTTTAAAAAGGAGCTAAAATAATGTATATTTTACCTTTGAGCATTTAGCATTAAATTACACATAAATGGATGAGAAGCGACAAGAAACATGATCTATTTTTTTCTTGATTAAAAAATATTGAGGTATAAAGTTACATAAAGTAAAATTAATTTTTTTTCACATACAGTTCTACGGGCTTTGGCAAATGCATAAAATCATGTAACCACCACCAGCACAAATCAAGATACGAAATATTTCCATCACTCCCCAAAGTCCTCCTGTCCCTTTGTAATCTACCGTTGTCCCCACCCTAGCCGCTGGCAGCCTCTGACTTACTCTTTATCCCTATAGTTTTGCCTTTTTCAGAATGTCATAAATGAAATTATATACTTTGTAGCCTCTTGAGACTGTAGCAATAGTCACGTTGACGTGTGTATCAGTAGTTCATTCTTTTTCATTGCTGAGTAGTATTTGCTGGCACACTATTGTTTGTTCATCCTCTCGTTGGGTGATTTCTCGTTCGGTAATTATAAAGATAGCCTGGATTCACGTGCAGTTTCTTTCGTGTGTGAACATAAGCTTTCGTTTTACTCGTGTGCGTGCATCAGAGTACAATTGCTGGGTCATATGGTAAGTGTATGTTTACCTGTATAAAGCACTGCATGCTGTTTTGCGGTGTGGCCGTGCCATTTTGATAGTCGTGCTAGTGATGCATGAGTTCTGACCACTCCATGTCTTTCCCAGGAGTCGGTATTATCAGGTTTTTAAAAAGTCATTCTAATAGGTGTGCAGCTGTAGGCATTGGATTTTTTATTTTGAGATCATTGAAGATTCACATGCAGTTTAAGAAACAATGCAGAGATCCCGTGTCCCTTCCGCCCAGTTTCCCCCATCGGTGACACCTTGCACAACTGTGGTACGCTGTGACAACCAAGGGGTTGACTTGGACACGGTGTACTGACCTCATTCAGATCTCACCACTCTGAGCTGCACTTATTGGTATGACTGTGCGTGTCTACTTCTCTGCGGTTTTGTCACATGAGAGACTCTTGTGACCACCGCGGTCAAGATGCAAAGGGGACAGGGGGTCAAACATATGATGATGGAAAGAGACTTGACTGTGAGTGGCGAATACACAGTGCGATATCCAGATGATGTATTATAGAATTAATTGTACCCTCGAAACCTATATCATTTTATTAACCAAAGTTGCCCCAATACATTTAAATAAAAATTTTTAAAAAGATACAAAACATTTATCTCAAAACATTCATCTCCTGCTACACTTTAATAGCTACAGCCACCTCCACCTGCCTCTCTAACCCCTGGCAGCCATCCCTCTCTCTCTGCATGGTTTTGTCACCTCGAGGATGTTATATAATTGCAATCGTATAGTATGTAAGCTTTGGAGAGTGGCTTTTTCACTCAGCATAATTCCCTTGAGATGTACCAGCGTTTGTTCATTTTGATTACTAAGTAGAATTCCACAGTATGGATAGGCCACAGTTGGTTTAATCATTCAGGTTGGAGGACATTTGGGTTGTTTCCAGTTTTGGGCTATTATGAATAAAGCCACTCTGAAGATTCGTGTTCTGGATCTTGTGTGAACATAAGTTGTCATTTCCCTGGCATATCAGATGCCCACTAGAGAAATTGCTGGGTCCTATGGTAGGTGCATGCCTCGTTCTTTTTTTTTTTTTTAATTGCCATATTCCTTGCCAGAGTGTCTGTACCATTTTATATTCCCACCAACGACGTATAAGCGATCCAGTTTTTCTGCATCCTCGCTATTCTCCCTTTTTCTTTTTTTTCTTTTTTTTAGCCATTCTGATAGGTGTGTAGTGGCATCTCATTGTGGTTTTACCCTGCATTTCTCTAATGGCTAACGATGACTGCCATCTTCTTCGAGCTAATTTGCCAACTGTATATCCTCTTCGGCAACATATCTGTTCGTGTCTGTTACCTATGTTCTAATTGGGTTGCCTTTTCCCCCCCTACTGCTGAGTTTTAAGATTTTTTTACTATATTCTAGATACATGTCTATGTGTTTCAGGTAATCCTCTATTGTAGCGGTCCCCAACCTGTGTGGCACCAGGGACCGGTGCTCCTGTGAGAATCTAAGGCCCGACGATCTGAGGTGGAGCTGAGGCGGTGATGCTGGTGCTGGGGAGCGGCTGCAAATCCAGATGAAGCTTCGCTTGCTCGCCAATCACTCACCTCCTGCCGTGCGGCCCCGTTCCTAACAGGCCACGGACTGGTTCCAGTTTGCAGCCCAGGGCTGGGGACCCCGGCTCTATTGGATATTTATTTTCTCCCAGTCTATAGCTTGTCTCTTAATCCTCTTCACATGGCCTTTTGCAAAGTAAGTTTTAAATGTCGATGAGGTCCGATATGCCTCCTTTGCCTTTATGTATTGTGCTTTTGGTGTCAAGTCTAAGTTGGGATTTGCACTCAGGCCATCTGGATGTAGTCTGCCCTCTTAACCACAGCACCCCAGATGCAGCTGAGCTCTTCTTGGGTCTTTCTCACCTCAGGCCCATTCCTTTTCCCCTCCACACAGAGGATGCCATCCTCTTAAAGCCGATGTGCATCCTTCCCTTTTTTTTTTTTTTGGTAAATGTTTATTGAGCTTCTACTATGTGCCAGGTGCTGTGTGAGGATATAGCAGTGGATAAGACAAGCCCCGCCCTTATGGGGCTTGCAGGCTGATGGGGAGGCCAAGTGAATTCAATACCCCTGCAAATATGTCCTCACACGCTGATAGAGTTAGGAGGAGAGGCGTAGAGTGCATGGAGGGGGCCTTCTAGAGAGTGACATGTGAACCCCGACCTGAAGGATGAGGAGGGGTGGTTAGAGAGGGAGAGTGTTCTAAGGTGCGGGAAGAGCATGTGCAAAGGCCCTGAGGCAGGATGATGGGGCTCCTCCTGGAAGAGAACAAAGGTCTGTAGGTTGGTGCGCAGAATTGAAGGATGATGGGGTAGGTCAGGACTGGTTAGGGCCAAGGAGGGGCCAGACCTGTGCTACAAGTGACAGAAAGGGAATGTAGGCCTAGGGGAGGTTAGGGGACTCCTCCCAGAACATGAGGCTGAGAAGTGATGGGCCCTGCTGTTTGTTTATATACAGATAACCCAACCCATCCCTGCTCTGGAACTGGTCACAGCATGGAGGAGAGGGGAGGAGAAGGTCCCTAAACAACCTGTCTTCATAGCCAGTGCACCCCAGGCCTCAGCATTCCTCTCTGTTAAATGGGGTGCTGCTTCCGAGTCCTCTCGGGGCTCCCCATGCCATGATGCCGGGGCCAGGGTCCCAGCTTCCCATCTGTCTCTGTCCCCTCGTCTTGGGGGATGGGTTGGGTGGGGCTGCTGAGTGATGGGAGGATACAGCTTCTCCGCTGGCCTTGCCCTTGGCCACAAATGCACAAGCTCTGGAAATATCCACTTTCCCCACTCCCAGCCCCAAGTCTCAGGCTTCAGTGGCTTCCCCCTTCCTGCTTCTCCATTTGAAGGTGGGGAGTATGTACGGTTGGGGGGGGTCACTTGGGGGAGTAGCGCCGAGGAAGGAGGAAGTGGGGTGTGGACTGACAGACACCTTGTGTTTCAGGGTGTGGGAGGAGGGGACTTACCACACTGCTTCCTCGGCAGCCGGCCGGCAGGAGGGGCTTTTGAAAATCGTGTCCACTCCTCCCACTGCCGCCTCCTGTCTCATGTGGCTCCCTGCCCAGACTCGTGCCCAGTGATCACAAATGGGGCTTTGTGTTCCCAAGACAAAGAACATATTCCTTACCCCAACCTGGCCAGGCCTGGTCTGGCTTGCCCTGATCTTGGCCTCGGAAGGTGCCATTTCCAGGAGGAGGCACTGAGGCAGAGAGACGGAGGGGTCTGTGCAGCCAGAGGCGGGGTCTGCCTCCCGGTTTGGGGGAGGGGGCGGTGGCGTGGGAGGTGGTAGGTTGGCAATGATTAAGCTGTAGGCCTAGGCACCGAGGGGAGAAAGGAAGTGAAAACTGATAATGCTGCTATCTCAACGAGAGAGGCCAGATTCTAGCCCTTGAGGGGAACCGAATTCTATTTAACCTGGCAGAGTGCGTTTTGAGTCTTTCTTACATGCCAAGTGGTGTGGGAGTTGCGGCATGAATCAGACATTGTCCCTGACATTTAGGAGATAAGACGAGCATGTAAATCACCACAAAACAAGGGGACAAGAGACTAAGGTCACGGAGCGGTGCCAATGCAGGGGGTGGGGGTGGGCACGTGATTGTGTCTGCCTTCCCAGCCACCGTCCAGGGCTTCCTCAAGGTGGGAGCTGCACAAGGGCAGTGGTGCCTTCAGAAGCTGGAGGGAGTGCAAATGATTTTTGGATTATAGAAGAAGTACATGCCATGATGTCGAAGAAAGCCCTCCAGCCCCAGCTTTCCCCCTTGCCTGCTTTATATCATCACGTTGCTTTCTACCTCGTGCTAAGAGTAGACTCTTTACTGCACGTCGCTCTTACCTGTTTTCCCACTTTACCGAGAGCCAACGAGAGCAGGGCTGGGCTGTCCTATACCTCATGTATCTCTGCTGCCTGGGACATAGTAGATGCTCAAATCATATTTGTTGGATAAAAAAAAGAATATTAGGTTTGTGTATGCATATACTATTTCATGGCATCAGGATTGTGCGCTTTATATGGTTATATATACTGAGTTTTATTTGTTTGTTTGTTTGTTTGTTTTAGCATTTCCTCTATCGTTAAAGAGTCTCTGAGATTATCCTTTTTAATGACTGTATGGTATTCCATTACCTTGACATCACATTGTCTGTACTTTATTTCACCCCACCCTTCCCCATCTTTATTCAATTGTATCTGTAGGACTTAAACAAGAAAATATGTAGAAAAAGGAACATAAAGAAACTCGTAGAGCAAAAGCAGTGTGGGGTGGGTGGGGATATGGGTAAAATCCTGAATGTTGAAATCAGGAGTGGTGCCTAGAGGACCTTGTGCCCAGTGGTGTGTTGTTTAACTGAATCTCCAAAAAATATATAATCACGGTATCTGCCAATTTCCATGGTGTAAATTCTCCTGCCATGGTTGATTTTCAGTTCCCAACGTGGCATTGCTGAACATGGACTTGGAAAGGCCGGGACAGACCCAGCTGGCTCTCATGCACCAGTGGGAATGGCTTCAGCTCAGCTCTCCCAGGACTCTGGGCCCAGCATCGCAGACCAAGGGGAGGACTCCGTCCTGGGCAGTGAGGCCCAATCTTGGGATCTTGCTATCAGATCTCTCAGCTGGGTGCAAACTCCCAGATTCCCTCAGGTCTGCCACCCAGAGCTGCACTGGCCACTGATGTGTGGCCGCTCCATCCATCCCTGGAATTCAGGGCTGGGCCCGATGCTCCACCCCAGGCTCTGAGCTCAGTCACCAAGCGGGGCTCTGTGTCAGGCACAGCCGTGGGTTTAGGACACCCCATGATGGCCATGCCGTTTATTGAGCACATGCTGTATGCCAGGCTGTGTTAAATCTCTGACATTTATTTCACCCCATCCTCACACTCAGCCTATGATGCGGGCGCTATTATTATCCCGTTTTCAGATGAGAAAACAGACACCGAGAGGGTAACACACTTACCTGAGAACATCCAGCTCCCAAGTGCAGGTGCCAGGATTCAACCCAGGTCATCTGGATGCTAAAACCTCTGCTTTTAAATCCAAGCTCAGCATCCCCTCCTGCTTAATTAAGCCTTTATGAAGCACCTGCTGTGTGTGCTGTGTGCATCCCGCGGTGCTAGACTATGTAGGGAGTTGGTAAGGAGATGCGCTTAGGTTCGTCTTCGAGGAGCTTAGAGGAAGGGGAAGGGGAAGGGGAAGAGGTTAACCATTTCTTGAGCACCGACTATGTGCCAGGAATGATGCCAGGTGCCTTACGCTGCCATCTTGATTAATGCTCACAACCTCACGAGAAAGGTGAGCGCTTTCCCACATGACAGCCCAGGCCTGGGTGCTCATGAGCCTGCCCTCCGCTTTCCTAGGTGGGTGGCTTTCAGCAGGTCACACTCCTTCTCTGGGCCACCTTTCCCGCTTTGGTCCCTTGACAGGAGCTGTCCTGGGAGACCTCAAACCCTCTGCCAGTTTCAGGTCAAAGCATCTCAGAACAACAGGAAGTGGCTAGGTCATTCGGAAAGTTTGGGGACTGTGGCCACAGCTCCAGGCAAATTGTAGGGTCAGACGCCGGATATTGGACAGGTGACAGAGTTGGCTCCCTGGAGGCCTGGGGAGGGGTGTCCGGGAATGTGACTTCCTGCTCGACTCTAGAAGACTGGTTGATATGGCTGGTGACAGTTTGGCTCACATCCCAGGTAGCCCCGGAACTAAGCTCCCCAGGCTCCATCTGGGGTTCTCAGGGGCTGGATAGCCTACCTGAGGTCTCTGTAAGATCTCAGAAGAAAAAGGTTCAGCCAAAAGCTCCCACTTAAGTTGGGGGCAGGACACCTGTCTTGGAGTAGCAGTCACCTACCAAGTACCATTTTCCCTTGGCGAGGATCTGGGGTGACTGATGATTACAGGTGGTGCTTTAACTGCTCCCTTGGGGCTGCCACTGTTTTTGGATTCAACTCGCGATCACTCCTCATTCCCCTCTGAAGGATGTTGCAATACTTCTAAGGCTTGGGGCCGGCCCTGCGAGACTCATTTCCCAGATTGGGTAACTGAGGCCCAGTCTTTGGAAGCTGGAGGCCAGCTGGGGTGCTGGTGGGAAGTCAAACAGGGAGATTGGGAAGCAGATCATTGGGCTACACCTGTGGCTGGGATACTCCCGGTTCTGCAGGTCTGGGCGTCAGCACCCAAACTCTTTCAGCAGGGGCCTTCCCATTGACGCCCAGCCCTGGGCTGCCCGGAGTGACTCAGGCTCGTTACCGGCTCTTCTAAGAACTCTTAGGCAGGTAAACAACAAACTCACGGGAGAAAATAGTGTGTGTAAGTATCTGCCGTGGGGCAGGCCCTTCCGGTCACGTTATCTCATTGAAAACTTGAAAAATGTCCAAACCTGGAGCCGCAGGAGCAGAGAAAAAGGAAAGAAAACCTCTGCCTGGGGTGGGCGGGCATCCTAGAAGACTTCTCGGAAGAGGTGACTTTCGAGCAACATCAAACACTTTCTGAAGCGTCTTATGTGCTTGTCACTGTTCTGAGACCTGTATCTGCTTTATCTCACCCAATCATCTCGAAATCCTGTGTGTGTTCTTCCACTGAACAGACGAGAAAACCAAACAAGGCACAGAGAGGCTGACTTGACCAAGACTCCTCAGCTGCCGAGTGAGGGAGTCAGGATTCGCATTCAGGAAGGCAAACCAATTACTGGCTGAGACCTCCCACTAGTTATTTACCCTCCTCTGAACCTATTTCTTTATCCGTTAAATGTGGGTAAGAGTACCTGGCTCATAGAGTTATTGCGAGGATGAAGATGAGATCGTCCCGGAAAACCGTTTAGAACAGTGCCTGGCATACAGTAAGCTTTCAAACAATTGTTGATGACTTTTATCATCGCTGTGGCGGTTGTGCCCCTCCCCCTCTGGCCGCGGCTTCCTCCCCCGCAGTGCCAGCCCGTGACGCGGGTGCTGCCGCTCTCACAGTCTGGGTTTAATAGGAAACGAAAAGAGACAGAAGGGGATGTTTGAGGCCGCCCCCCCACCCCCACTTAGACTCTGAACGGACCCCCAGGAAATGTGCGACTCTCTCTTGCGACACCTCCCGCCAACCGCGGAAACTGCTCCGGGACAGGGCAGGGAGGTCGGATCGAGCAGGCAGCGCAGGGCTGGTAAGCAGAGGAGGGCTGGAGAGGTGTGAATGTGTTGGAGGGAGGGCAGGCAGGGGACACGCTGCGTCTTCTGAGCCCAGTGCCAACTCACCAGGAGCCATTGGCCACGCCCATCATGGCCGTGGGCCTTCCCACCTGGCAGTCCCAGCCTCCGCGCACCTCGGTCTCCGCTGCCCGTGCGCTCCGGCGGCTTGGCGGG